GGGGCACGGGGGTACCGAGACACCGCACCCGAGCCGCGGGCATCAAGGCAGCCAAGGCCACCCCCACTCCGAGCTGGGTAAGAGACCACCGCCGTTTTCTGACGGGCATTACCAAGGACATCCTCTTCCTTCAGCGGTAACACCCAACTTGCTGTCTTGATGGCCCAGGCAGCTTGGGATTGCTTCGCGTCGAATCTCAAATTAGCAGCTGGCATCACACATACCCAACGGGCTCCATAAACTTACCAACCTTCTAAAGCTTTCTGGTAACACCTGCAAAATTAAAGCCCAGTAACAAAAGCCACTTCACGGCCTTTACTTTTTTTCCAGAGCTGTAATGACACAAACCCACATGAAAAAATCATTAAACATCCTGCAGCTTTAGCCCTATTTGCTCAGTGCATACTGAAACCACTAACAACAGCATCATGTGAAGGAGCAAAGGGCTGTAACTCCAAAATCTGAGGACACGATTCCACGCTTCCCTGTGAAGCGCTACACAGCCTACTTGAAATACAGCAGAGACCACAGCCTGCAAGAAATTTCACCAAGGGATGGGTCTTGCAAGCTTGTTTGAAACATGTCCTTCAGCCTGTAAAATGAGCAGCTTCTGGGCTGAAGTACTAGATTTAATAAGGCTGAAAAAAATAGCTGTAAATCAGAGGGTTGCAAGTTGCATTTGTTTTTGGAGCAAACTTCAAATAGGTAACTGCAAAACTTGGGATAAAGTTGTGAAATAACATATCCTTAATGTTACTATTACACCAAGAAACGATGATTCATGGTATCATTCTTCGGTTTCCTTCTCACCCCCCTCTCCCTCAACAACTGAACCTGGAAGGGACGTTTGTCAATCACCACATCAAGCAGGCTCAGCTACAGCAGGTTCCCCAGAGCAGTGTCCCACTGGGCTTTAAGCATCTCCCAAGAATGGAGACTTCACCACCTTTCCGGGCAACCTGTTCCCAGTATTTGACTGCCCTTCGCAACAGAAAGGTGTTTTATGTTCAGATGGAATTGCCCATGTTTCAATATATACCCCAGTTTTCAAACATTAAGCTTCAATTTTCTAAGACAAGCACACTACTGTACTCCAGGGAAAAAATTCCAGAACAGTGTGTGAATATGGAAAAAAAAAAAAAGGTGGTGTATGAATACACTTTCTTCCTTTGCATAGAGTGTGTTACAGAAACCTTTCAGCATAACATTAAAGGACATGACAAATGGAAGAATGGCAATATTTTCTTTAATGAAGAAAATATTATTTGTAACCTTGAAAGAGTAACTTTTTTTATCCAGTCTGGAGGACTAAACCCAAGCTTTATCCAGATTCATAGCCAACCTCTGAGGTTTTCATGTACGACCAAATAGTTCAGGCAGCACGCTTAGTTTAGGAGTTTTCACTGGTTTGGATTTGAGAGACTCACGTTTACATTCAACCTTCAAAGAATAGAAAGACACAAAGCTTACAGATCGGAGAACTTGCCACCCTCTGTACCAACACTAAAACATTCTTATGGCTTTCCCTCTACAGAATACAAAACCAAGATAACTAGAAAGGATTACATAATGAACTGGGTAGCTTTTCTAGGCCGTGAACCCAACGCTCACCAGTAACATACACGTTTTGAAAGGCATTTTATTTAGACAACTGAAAACAGTTAAACGTTCAGAAGCAGTGTACAATGAAACAAAACCCAAACCAAATACTTTTAGTACATAATCCCTTCCTTTCAACTAAAGCCAAATTTTCCAACTTTCAAGAAAACAACAAATGGGTAAAAGCCATTTTATCTCTTCTCCATAATAAAGAAAACACACTACAATGAGTCTAACTGAAACTGGAGAGACTGGATCTTGGCTTGCACACTTCTTTGAAAAGACAGTAGGCAGTTATGCTAAAAAGGTAGCAAAACTCTACTACTTGTCTTTTTTTTTTTTGATACTCGGTTCTCTTACAGACAACACCTAGCCAGTTCCACCGCATTCTCATCAATTACTGCCCGTCTTTTCCATATGTAGAGGGCGCACTCTGGAAGGCTGCTGTTCATCACTGTTCGTTTGATTTAGTCTCACATGTCCATATGCTGCGTAACAGTCGCAATAATCAGGCCTTAACTTCAGGAGTTGAGCTGTAGACTGAATCTGAGTTTTCAGAGGCAACATCTTCTGCAATTAAATAAAAAGAGTATCATTTAACTTCACCTTAGATACATAAGTCAAATAAATGTTGCAGGGATTGCTTTAAGTTCAGTTTGTTTTCCCATTTAACCTGATGCAGTTACTGGATAACAGGTTTAAACTGAAGGAGGGTAGATTTAGATAGGTATCAGGAAGAAATTCTTCCTGGAGAGGGTGGTGAGGCACTGGAACAGGTTGCCCATGGCAGCTGTGGATGCCCCATCCCTGGAAGTGTCCAAGGCCAGGCTGGATGAGGCTTTGAGCAACCTGATCTAGTGGAAGGTGTCCCTGCCCATGGCAGGGGGGTTGGAACTGGATGGGCTTTAAGGTCCCTTCCAACCCAAACCATTCTGTGAATCATTCTATGATTCTACAACACCCGTTCAGTCTGCACAGCTCTAGTCACTACTCTGGTCTGACACCACATGGTCATTTGCAGGAAAATGCATTCAAAGACCTTTTCAGAAGAGTAGAAGTGCTAGAAGATACTTGTGGAAAACTACCTCTTCCATACTCAAGAATGCTACAGTGTCAACTGATCATTTAACACAGCTGAGCTAAAGCTGGCAGTTCAGGGCATTACCTATTTCCTCCTCTGCAGTTCCTGGAAGGGTGGTCCTTGCTTTTGCTGCTTCTGCATTCTCCTCTTCTGTAAAGTGGAAGGAGAAAAAACAATCAATACATTTGCTGAGTTGGGTAAGCAATTCCACTGATACTCACTTGCAGTCTTCTAGACATTGCCTTCCACTCACCTCCCCCAGATTTACAGAACCAAAGTACAATGTAAAATAAACCTATCATTCACACTTCTATCTTGAAATTCTTGCATCTCCAAGACACAGCAATCCTTATTTCTTGCTCTGTGACATAAAAATACACAGACTATTTGCTTCACTATCCACAGTCTGCCTTTATGTCATAAGCTTTCAGGTTTGAAATTAATTGCTTCCATGACAACTACAAAAGTAAATCCTTAAATCTAAGAGGCTTGAGTGGATATCGAGACCCTCAGAAAACAGTACAGTTACTGTATGAAACCAAGATGATGTTTACCACCTATGACAGGTACTGCTCAAGATGTGCATGTGAAGCGGTCGCATTTCACCAGGAACAAGTGCACACTTACCAGGAACTACACACTTCCAAAGGCCATAGGTTTTCCCTACTGTCGTCTGCCACAGCCTTAGTGTGCCATCCTCAGAGCCGCTTGCATATAACTCTCCGTCGGGGCTAAATCTCACGCAGTGAATTGGACCAAAGTGTCCTTTGTAAGATTCTGTAAGAGAACATACTAAGACCATTAATTTTGAATTTTGGTCAACAACTGAAATTAGTAAGTAAAAACTGGTCAGAAGACAACAAAACACTGATGGGGGGGGGACTTTCTCCATATTTAACTTGTGATGCAAATCAAGGCCGCTATTGTTATGTCAAAGATCTCTCATTTAGGGAACATATTAACGTTTTATTAACTGCAAGAAAACAGGTGCTTATTTATTCAAGGCAAAACTACAAAGCAATTCAGTAGCACGGAGAAGTACACACTCTGTTCCTTCAACTACTCACTCCACTCAATTTTAAACAAGGGCAGGATCAACAGACAAGCTTCAAAATACACTCTTAAAAAGAAATCTCATTAACAAGAACACAAATATATCACATTTTTCATAAAAGCAAGTAGCTGCAACTCAGACATCTAAATGAATGCTGTAGTATAACACTAAGTTCACAAACATTTGTCATTGCAGCAACACAGAATGACAACTTTTTTTAAACAGATGCAAAGCGTTGTTTAATAGAGGCTTTAATTAGTTCTAGAAGAGTAACATTAGGTATACTGAGACAGGAAAAATGCTTAACTAATAACATACCTTTTCACCCTCTTACACAGCATGCTACACTAAAATCTTTGAGTACAACAGTTTCACTTATTAGTCATCATTTCATTAATCTAATACCCATTTCAGAACTCATTTTTGATTACAGAAGACAAACATACCTAGTTCTTCTCCTGTATTATAGTCATATTTATAGAGTTTAAAATCTTCACCACCTGCAACCAAACATTCCTTCGCAGGGTGAAGTGATGCAGAATTGATTGTAGCAGGTGCTTCAAATGACTTAATCTGCTCTAGACTGAGGGAGAAAAGTTTGTTAACAGAGTTCATTTAAAAACAGAAAGACCCCAAGAGCAAAGAAACTGTGATTTGACTAATCACAGCTGCTTTTCTTAAAAGCAAGAGACACCCACACACAGTTTCTGAAACAGGTTTTACTTGCAAATCCCACTCATCAAGCTGGAAGAGAGTGCAGAACAAGCAAAACAAAAGGCTCACGTTCTGAACTACTCTCTGGAATACACACGTGTAACTTGCTGTCTTAAAACATCAGAGATATGTAGACATAATTATTTCCCTGCAAAGCACTGAACTGAAACTTGGCTGTAACCTAATTTAACCACAATTACTAATTGCGTGAAATACGAGAAATGGCACCAAACTTTTACAGCCTAGCGCCTTACACAGTTTGGGTTTGCTATTTTACAAAAGGGCAGTTTGTTTCACACTCTACATCTGTCAAGATGGCAAGCAAAGATGTCCACTAATGCCAGTTCTGACAACTTGGCGATTTTGGCCTTGTACACTCAGTTGTTACCCACAGCCAAGCCCATTACTCAACCTGTAAAATTTCTGTGATTTGGACTCACGTTTCTGCACTATGAAAAGCAATAGTCTTCCCGTAGGTTATCACCAGTATCTGTCCTTCGGGAACATACTCCATGCTGCTCACTGACATTGCAACGTTTAGAGCCTTCACTTCGGTCATGGTACTCCGGTCCCAGAGGCTTAAGAGGAAACAAAAAAGTAGAAAAAGGCTCTCAGATTACTTCAGCAAATGAAACAAATTTTCATTTCCCATCCATGGCAAGATTTGGATCAAAAAAGCCACATAACAAAGAACATCATGTGATTCCACAAGTGCTTCGGATCTCCAGTGGCATCCTTATCTTAAAATTTTGCCGAGGTAAGAACGTAGACATGCTTACTTTAAAATACTGCTACTTTTGAAGCTTAATGCAACAACATTAAATGGTACCCATACCATTTACCTACTCAAGGATTCTCCTAGACATTAATCACCTTGTCTCCTGAGCAACACAGCTTTCTAGAAGCAAGGCGTGAAGATTCCATTCTGCCTTTTTACCTCACAAGGCAAAGAGGTACTATAATCCCAATTTATACAAAGAATAGAGATTCATTTAAGATGAGTTTTCTATCTAGGTGAGCAAGAGCTATCTAAACAGAAATTAAATTGGTTTGCTCTGACAAGAAAGAATCTGCATTCATTAGCTGACTGCTGCATTTGTTGCTACAATCCTGAGAAAAATAAACAAGACTAGGCTCTTGCCTATCCTGAACACAAAGAAAACGAAAAGAACAGGAGCTGAAATAGAGACTGCAGGGAAATTGCACCAGTGACTTCACCTTCCCAGCCTTTCTTCCATGAAGATGGAAAGACCGTTGTATTTCTCCCTCCTTTGTGCCATAAATATAAGAATGGTGAGACAGCTAGGCATGAGGTGACACTGGTCATTTCAGCCAGAAAGCTGAGGAAGCAGTAAGGCACATCGCCCATCTTTTCCAGAGAGCTTAATTTGAGGAAGGATGTTTGTAAATTCATGCCCCCAGCAGCCAGGTTTGTCTAGGTTCCATCACATCCACCAACTGGGCATGAACAGAACACCAAACTGTAACTGGATGAGCCATATTATAAAAACACTAAAGCCTACTCAACTTATCAGCAATGGGAAAGAAAGTAAGCCATGTCTATCAACAATGCAGTCTTTCATCCCAGTCCCTGACTAGTCCATGCCTTATGCATCTCTGATAGCTGGATTGCAGAAGACAAGGCAGCAATACCTCAGCATAATGTGCATTCACAAGACCTCATCGAGAAATTCATCTTCTCTAGGGTTCTGAAAGGCAGAGATTTATTCTACGATGCAGCGCTCAGACCACCTCTTCCTGCCAGGGAGGACACATTGATGGGGTAAACTAGAACTATTACAAGTTATGTCTCCAACAGTAGAAAGGGACTGTACTAGGCATGCAGCCATAATAATCTAGTATCGATCAGCATAACTGTCTTCTCACAAGGATTATGAAAATAAATAAAAAGTGAGCTTCATAGAAAACTTAAAGTTACATTTTCTTACCGGACAGTTTTATCATCAGCTGAAAGAATCTGTTTGTCATCACTGCTCCATAAAGCCTTTTTAATGCCAGAAGTATGTCCACTGACAACGTCAGGTTCTTAAAATAAAGCCAAATATTTTAATACACGTAAGAAAATTAAATACAGCTTTCTTAAACTATATGGATTTCCATGTACTAGAGACTATAAAATAACTTCAAGCACTTATGACATTGTTTGTAGATCTTATGCCAGGAACAGAATAAATGTAAACTGGGCATCTGCTTGCCTAAATTTAAAAAGCTTCATTAGGTTATCATCAAGGTTCTCTAACTTCATACCAATCATCAGTAGTTCAGTATCAACTTGAATTTAAACACATTTAAATATGTGGAGTCCTTTTTCTTTCAGATGTCAATTTTAACTAAGTAGACCTATTCCTAATGAGTCTGCACTGAACTGAAAACATGCTATCCTTGCAGTCCATTATAGATAAATTCTAATTCACTCGTAAAAACAAACTTAAACAACACAAATCATCTTACTGTAGTAAGAGGTTATAGACACTACATTTGTAAAACAATTCTCAACTTTATCTTTTGTCATTCATAGCAGAAAGTAGCTCTTAATTTCACAACTGTTATTTAGCTCCAAAAAACCAAGAATCAGTTCTAAAAGCAGACTCACCTGCTTCCGGCTTGCTTAAGTCGTAGATACGCAACAGTTTATCTTGTCCACCTGTTAACAGATAATTGCTATCCTGAAACAGAAGTTATAAAGGGTCAACTCTATTTTGAATCAAAATACCAGCCTTCAGCTGTGAGTCTTAAAGCAACAGTTCTTTCTCTCAGACAGCCTCTTACTACATTTGAGTTATCTTAAAAACCAGAAGTGGCATGTTAGATTATTTGTCTGTTAAGATATACACATAAAAAGCAGAAGAGTAGCTAACAGCAAAACATACTCGAGCTTACTGCCCTGGGGAATAAGGTATAAAGGTTTTTCATACCTGTGTAAAATCCACACTTTTGACAATGTGTTTGTGAGCCAATGTGATTAGTTCATCGCCTGATACAGCATCCCACACTTTGCTAAACAGCAAGAGAAAACATTTTCATTTTAGTAGCACCAGGACTAATCAACCCCAACAGTCAGATTATTTTGTAAGCAATCCTTCCTGACAGCACCATAGCATTTTATCATAAATCCTACATTCTTGTAATTTATAGCCCAGTTAGTCAATGAGAATACTTTATATGCTTTTAATGAAGCTTCCTCTTGTACTATCCCACCGTTTTCCTTTAACCTCTTCGTCAGGATAATGCAGAATAGCTACCATTTGAGTTTTAAGACAAAGGCAGTTCTCTGCAACTCAGTACAACTTGCCCTCTACTAACAGGCTTCAACTTGCCAAATATTAATATATGCTGCAAACAGCACAAACAACATCAAAGAAATAATTAGCTAGATTTATTATAAGAAAACTCTTGTAAAAATAACAGGTTAACTGGTAGAAGCAAAATATAAAAATCAGTCTTGCAACTGTTGTAACTACAGATTAGAGCCACATAGAAATGTTATTGTAACAAACCTGTAGGGTAAATAAGTATTTATCAAAAACCAGTAACCGTTGTTCATCACAATGGAACCAACAGTAGCTGCTTCCAAGAACCTGAAACTCTACGTTTTAATCTGGCTAGCCATAAATAAGCTAACAGTTGCTGAAGAGAAACAAATTATTCTAATTTACAACAGACTTCAAAGACAGCTAATCACTTACGCTGTAAAATCTGCTGCCGCTGTAGCTGCTTTAGTGGCATCCGTGTTCAAAGTTGCACCCCAAACAGCACCTTTATGACCCAGAAACGTGCCAATCCAGTCTCCTGTGTCGCCCTGACGCAGCATAGGCTTACCATCTTCACAAAAAGAAAGCCAGTGTTCAGGTAACATGATTAAAAAAGGCAAGCTTCTTAAAAAGGTTCCCTTGCACCAGCAGGTGGAAGTACCACAAGCTTTGTGAAGCTATTCTTTGTAGGAGTTTAGCTACAGAGCTCAGATACGCCGCTGTACTTGCTACATGTATCTAAAACTGTACTGACATTAAAATACTGCCTCAAATGAGATAAAAGTTTTCTTTAGGTTTGCGCTAAGGTGGAAGAGGAACCTCTTTTAGGTCTTTTACTCAAGTTTTCTTCAGGAAGGCCAGGTTTGCTTTCTTGCTCTGGCACAATATTAACAGTACTCAGAAATAAGTCTTGTGTTTGAAATGGGATATGTTTAAAGCACGTATGGAGATGTTGCAAAAATCACTCCTGGAGGAACTGACTTTTTCTAGGAGGCCATCAAAAAGTTGTTCACGCAAGATGCAGAGCTGAATTGGAAGCCCTCTGAGACAGAAAGCAACGTGCTTTCATACTTATGAATACACACGTAAGATTAACACGTGCAGGCATGGAGGCAAAATGCTATTCGTGTAACAAGAGAGTTCTCAAGGTAAAGGAGTCAGACTTCATCATTCTGTGTCCAGCAAGGCCTGGAGTAAACGGGAGCTCTCTTAAAGCCTGCAGCCTACGTACACAGACAGCAGAAGTGAGCAGGTTTAGAAAGAAATATTTTCGAGGTTCCCCCCGCCGCACCCCCCCAGTTTAGATCCAAACCAGGCGAAGGCGGGCTGTGATACCCCCCAGGCTAACCGGATAATTAAACATGGGGTAAATCAGAGGCCAGCTGCCTTTATCCAGCAACGACCGCTCACCGCCCCCCTACCCGTCCCACAGACACCCCGCTCG